GCAGTGCCAGAAGTGTTGTTTCTCATTCAGGTTTTCTAATTTTGTTTCCTTTCTTAAATTCTGTCATCTAGACTTTACTTGACACAGCTAACATGCTAAAAGCAGGTTATAAGGTACTCACCAGTGTTAAAGCCTCTGCCCAGTGCTGGCCAGGGTCGATGGTTCTTCCACAGGTTCCCCAGATACCAGTCACTCTGGTTCTCTACCAGACCTAGAACTTGCTGGCCTGTATAAACACACACACACACACACACACACACGCACACACACGCACACACACGCACGCACACACACGACTGTTCTTACTTGTTTTTTTTGGTCTCAAACAAGCACCTTTTTATCTCCACAATCTTCAATTCATTCAACTCTAACCTGCTGCACAGTGGCTGTAATGTCATTAGTAATTACTGATTTGTAGTATTTTATTGAGGAAAAAAATAAAGGCATTTCATAAGGGATGAGGACAAAACATCATAATTATATTGGGAGGAATAACTGTATGCCACGGTCCTGGATCTGGTGACCCGGTGTTTGTTTTTTTGATTTAATATTCTTTGATTATTGTTATTCATGGTTTTGGTTATCTTTATATTTAAGGTTTGCTGCTGGATGGACTGTGTATCTCCCCTGATGGTTCTACTTTCCCCATCTCATATCATTATTTTGCTATGAGCCTATGTTTTAGTTTCTTCCCAGTTTAGGCTTTGTAGTTTAGTCGTTGTCTCTTTTCACGTTGCATTTGTGTCCTGTTCCGCTGCTAATAAAGGCTCACTTTCAGTTTAAGTCCATCCAAAGCGTCTGCATTTGGGTCCAATGTCTGTCTACTCCGCACGCTCTGCCACAGCAGACGTGAAACTGAGTTCAGCAAGACTTTGAAAGGACGTATGTAGATTGTTTAGATAAGAGAATTTATAGAAACAATCTGCTCGTTTCTAGAGTGGGTTGATTGCATCATTTGAGAAAGTGTTTCAATAGCAGTAACAGTAGATTAAAACTGCAAGAATGACATAACATGAGCTTAATAGTGGAGTGAAAAACTGTTGCCTCAGAGCAAGAAGGTCTTGGGTTTGAATCCACTATCTGGCCGGGGCTTTTCTGTGTGGAGTTCTCGCCTATCAATTGTCTCTCTGCAAGAAAGGTCACCAAGCTGGAAGCTGGACGCATCAGTAGCAGACACTTTAGGGTCAAATATCATGACATCCAGATCCAGATCCAATAGAAACCTAATCATATCATAAAACGAGCTTTTATGTTAAATCCACAACAAAGTGTCAAAAACTTTAATTGCTGCCTCATAAATGAAACCACGCTGCAATGAAAAGAAGCAAGAATTGAATTCACTCATACATTTAAAGCTTTTGAGTCACTGAACAAAAAGTATAAAGACAGCAAATGGTTGGAATTAAATATAACTGGGAGATTAAGAGAAGAGAGGAGGAGAGTATGCGGGCTTTAAGGTAAGAGATTACTGAAGGAAGCTGGGCAGAGATAAAGGTTGAGGAAAGAGGCAGTGGGAGCCTGGAGAGAAGAGCATGGGTGCAGTGGTGGCAGGTTTAATGAAGGCTATAAGGAAGATTAATGAGAGCTTATTGAAGCAGGCAGCAGAGAGCAGGGTGCTCCTTTACAAAGGCTACGAAACAAAGAACACAGATCTGCCTGAGCAGGATAATTAGAGCTCAAATACAAAAAGCTATAGTTTATAAAGGTTAATCAAACTTGATGGCCACAATATTTGTGTGAAATTAGTTGAGTTCCAAGTGAAAAAAAAAACACAGGGAACAGTTATTCAGTGTTAGACTGCATCATGAAATAAATCAAAAACAGCACTGTCCGAATGTTCCACAGCACCTGAACTAAGCAGGAGTGTGAGTGGTAGTGACAGAGACAGGGCGCAGCTCTTTGGTCCAATTACTCACCCTAAGAAGTGTAATCTAGCTGTAAACCCAAACACTCAAACTACTTAAATAAATTAATGTAAACTTCCATCCATTCGCTTCCGCTTATCCTTTTCAGGGTCGCGGGGGGGCGCTGGAGCCTATCCCAGCTGTCATAGGGCGAGAGGCGGGGTACACCCTGGACAGGTCGCCAGTCTGTCGCAGGGCCAACACACAGGGACAGACAACCATTTGCACTCACATTCACTCGCACATTCACACCTAGTGGCAATTTGGACGGTGGGAGGAAGCCGGAGTACCCGGAGAGAACCCACGCAAACACGGGGAGAACATGCAAACTCCACACAGAAAGACCCCGGCCTGATGGTGGAATTGAACTCAGGACCTTCTTGCTGTGCGGCAACAGTGCTAACCACCGTGCCACCGCTATACGCCTGTATATGTATAGCGCTTTACTAGTCCCTAAGGACCCCAAAGCGCTTTACACCAGCGGTCTCCAACCTTTTTTGCGCCACGGACCGGTTTATGCCCGACAATATTTTCACGGACCGGCCTTTAAGGTGTCGCGGATAAATACAACAAACTAAAACTAGTACCGGTACTGAAAAAAAAAGAAGATTTATTCATAACACACGTGAAAAGACCCAGGAAAACCGGGTTAACGATAAAAACGATATCAAAATAACGCTGAAAACCAATAAAAACCCTGAAAACCATACATTTCACACCTGAGCCTCAACTCTCACGGCCAGGTACCAAACGACTCACGGACCAGTCCGAGGCCCGGGGGTTGGGGACCGCTGCTTTACACAACCAGTCATCCACCCATTCACACACTACTAACTCAAATAGCTTAAGTTCCTGTAACATGTTTCAACATATTATTTTTTAATAAACTTATTTGCAGTGTTGGTCAACTTACTTGAAAATAGTAATTAGTTACTAATTACTGATTACTTCTCCAAGAAAGTAATCCCATTACTTTACTGATTACTTATTTTCAGAAGTAATTAGTTACGTTACTACTCAGTTACTTGTTAAAAATATGATACACAACCTGAATACGTAATAAAACAATAGACCTTTCAACCCAATTCTATTTTTTCTGCATAATCCATCATATAAAATTAATCAAATGAAAAAAGTCTCTTTTTAAAATTTGTTTTATGAGTTTTAATGTTTACATTTTATACACATTGCATTAAGCAAAAATTATATGTAGCTGTCTTTGACTTGAAGAAATGTTTAACATTTAAACCTGTTTTCTGCGTATTCCAAAAATATAAAATAAAATCATTTTTGTGTTTACACTCACTCTTTCAAATAGATGCAAGTAAAACACAGCAAAGATTAAATAAAATCAAAGATACAGCTGCACTGAGTCCTGTCGCTCTTAAATCTATTTTCACCTGTTTAACAGGAGTGGGGCGGGTGGAAGTTTGCCCGGTGCTGCAGCAGTCATGTCAGTGGGGGGATCTGGGGGTTTCTCTGTGAATTTCACATTCCTGTGGCAGTGTGCTCGGTGTTTGCTCAGATTTTAAGTTTAATTTTTCACTGTAGAAAGAAGTTTTCTTCCCGCACACAGTTCACAGCAGACGCTAAGGGGGCAGGGATAGCTCAGTAGGTAGGTAGAACCCCCGACCTTCCGATCATGGAAGGTCGGGGGTTCAAATCCACTGAACAGCTACCCTGAGGTACCCCTGAGCAAGGTACCGTCCCCACACACTGCTCCCCGGTTGTCTGCTTAGTGGCTGCCCACTGCTTCACTGAGTGAATGGGTCAAATGCAGAGAAAAACAAGTAATTTCCCCACAGGGATCAATAAAGTATAGATTATTAATATTTCTGTCCCCTTTTACGGAATCAAACTCAAAGTAATGTCAGTACTTCCACGCTTCACAAAATCATGGTTTGGTGACGCACTAATGCAGCGTGCTTATGAGAAAGTAACAATCATCTAATTACTTTTTTCAAGTAATGAGTGAAGTAAGATGTTTATAGTAATCCCTTACTTCACTCATTACTTGAAAAAGTAATCAGATTACAATAACACGTTACTTGTAACTTCTAATGTTTCTGCGTTGCCGGCTGGTACATATGTACATTCAGATAGTGCACCTGCTAAATCACTCCTCATTAGTTTGTGGTCAGGAAGTGGAATTTCTTGTAGATTCCAGGGCCACTCATTCTGTGTTATGCTCAGATTCTCTCTCTCCACAGGCTGTGTTAAGTGAGACGTTCACTCATTCTGCATCTGCATCAGGAACCGTTCAGAGGGAAAATTTCACCGTAGCCCCGTCTTGTGTAGAAGGGCAGGGGCAGAAATTCAAACATGGGTCTCTGTGGTCTGATCTGTGTCCGGTCAATTTGCTTGCCAGAGACTTAATGTGTAAGCTAAATATAAATTTAATCTCCTGCCATGATGGTATTACACTAACGCAATCAAACTGTGATTATATGATGGTGAAATACTGCCCCGTGATCCTGGCTTTCGCTTATGAATGGAAGCTGGGAGGAGGGTCGCTTGTTGAAGAGCTCATGACTCGCGTCTGCATGCCTCCAGAAGGCCCATTCTCCCAGCAGTTACATTAGACTGGACAAACATGCTCAGCATGTAGAGCTCTGTAGTATCCTCAATATACTGAAGCAGGTTAGGTATCCAAACAAAGAAGAATTCCCACATTTAGAATAAGAACAACAGAACAGGCCAGTACACATACTTCACAGAACAAGTTATAGGTACACGTCAGTGAAACTCATCCAGTATATCACAGAAAAATCATCCATCTTTTATGAAGGTCAGATACAATAGAACTGGAGAAATGTTGATTAAAGAATAAGAACATTTTGGAGGTTTTAGTTTGCGATGCTATGGAAGTGCATCACACAGAGAGGTTTTTCTGTTACTCTCACTGATATGTGGAAGCTTGAAATTTTGAGGAGAAACAATAATAGCAACATGTCTGGACAACAGTTTCTATAACAAAACTAAGCTTTTTACCTTTCATAAAAGTGGGAACAGAGGAATGTTGTAGGTTCAGTTCAACTAAGTCTTATTTATATATTACCAAATCCCAAAAGCAGTCACCTCGAGGCACTTTATCTTTTTTATTATTCTTTTTCCCCTTCTTTCAGCTGTTTCCTTTTGAGCTTGCTACGCTGGATCATCTGTCTTCATCTCACATTGTCCCTGTATCCTCCAGCCTCTGCATACATTAACCTCCTCTGAGGTCTTTCTCTTTTCCTCATGCTTTCAGTCCATGTTAACCATTGTTGTTCAGTATATCCACTCTCACTCCTCTGCATGTCCAAAGTATCTGAGCCTTGCATTTTTAAATTCAGAGTTCAAAGACTCTACAATAATACAGAGAAACACCAAACAATCAGACGACCCCATCTGAGCCACCCAAGCCCTTGGTGACAGTGGGAAGGAAAAAAATCCTTTTAACAGGACGAAACCTCAGGCTAATTCAGGCTCAGGGAGGGGCGGGGCCATCTGAGAGAAAAGGAGTTGCATTACCTTTGAACTTGTGGAAGACGGCCCAGAGTTCAGCAATGTCAGTGGCAAAGGTGATGTCTGTGTCTAGAACGATGACTCTCTGTAGATCTGATGGCAGGGTCTTTGTCAGTACCAGTTTCATTAGCCCATAAATCCCAGAGTAATGTTTGTTAGGAATCCATGAGACTTCGGACTGAAACACAAGAGGAAATAAGGGTTGGGATCATTTACTGTTAAATAGAAATAGCTCATAATGTGTCGCATTAAATAAAGCAGTAGCCATGAGATAATTAAGCAGCCCAATCAGTAAAGCAGGGTGATGGAGTCTGTGTTCCCCACCTTCAGCTCATCTGCGTCATAGAAGTCCACCCTGACGGCAGGAACCATCCATGTATGAAACAAGGAGGACAGGATCTGCTGAGCAATGGAGTCTGTGATGAAATGGAAATGAAGGGGATTCCGCCTGTAGACACACACAAATACCAAGCTCCAATGAATTCACGGCTTTTACTTTTACTTCCTGCATCATATCACAAAACATTCAGTACATGCACAGTGGGAGTTTGGAAATGAAACTGAATAGAAAGGACAAACCATTTTTATAAGCACACAGTTACACAATGTCTGGATAAACTTTAAATAAATTCTGCAAAACGTCACCAATGTGCCCATGATCCACATATAGAAATGTGTTTCTCATTTTCTCTGAAAAATGTTCATCACACATCATGATGTCTAACACACAGATGGCATATTAAATGAGCAGCCAACAAAAATGTGAATACTCACCAGCTTGTGAAAGCAGATAAGTTAACAGCAGAAAACAGCATTATTTCCTTTTTGTGTCCTACATCCACCAACATTTTTAGGAAACCTTTGATCTATTAATGCCACAAGTGGGCAATAGGCTCATGTTCACATTTTTCATTGTGCTTATTTACATGAGCTGTCCGCTAGAAGAATAACCACTTTAGCAATGTTTGTGAGAGACTGAGTTTAATAAGGCACAAGACGTACAGGTACAGGAATGGAAACTGTTTGCACATCCATTCCAAAATTCACTCATCTTTCCTGTCGTCTTAGAACCCAATCTTTTCTTGTTTAGCACATAAATATAAACTGTACTTTTCCTGGTCAATAAGACTATGTGATATGCTTGAGAACTCGAAAACAAGTCCAGTTGTTTCAGCTTCAGCATTAATAAATGCATGTGTTAAACCCTAAGGCTGCAAGAGACAGACATGGCACACTGATGGAGAGATGATAAATTTACGCCTCATTTCAGCTCAGGGAAGGGGTGTGAGGGATGGGGGTATAAAATAGGTGTTCAGGACTTCCGAATCAGGTCAAAGGGAAGTGACACTAAGCTGAGGATGTGAGCACCCGGGGGTGTCTTATGCTGATTGACTTTGTATCAATGTGTCAGCTGCACTGGCTCAATAAGCACTGAAGGCTGGGAGCTGTCAGAATGTATCAGAACCCAGAAAATCAGAAAAGCTGTCAACACAGCAGTGCACATTGAAAAGACCTTCACATCCTTTGGACAAACAGCAACAAAGTTTTGATGGGACGATTAGGATTGTGCTAAAAAGAAAGTGTCACGTACATCTGATTATAAAAACTATTAGGCTGTAGTGACCCATGACTATTTCATCCACATGATGCAACTGTGTTTTCTTGTGGATTTGGTGAAAGACAAATCCACAAGACTAAGATCCACTGTGCTCATATCTGCTCAGAGTGAAGGATTATCCTAAACTACAACAGATGGCGTGTGTGCGCAACTGGGGCACCTTTTCCCCTCTCAGTGCCCAAACAGTCAGACCATTGGCTGTCAGCCTCACAATATCCTATACGACTGTACTTTAACATATCTAATATATCTGTTTATTTAATATGCCCGACTGAGTGCTTCTGTTGTGTGGTGTACCAGTCTACTGTACATTTTTAGAAGTTTAAGTTTACATCCACTTCTCTTTTAAACCGCCCCAACTTTTCTGTGAGAGACCCTCACTGGAGATGAGAGCTCAAGAGTGGTAGAGCAGTTTTCAGTGCAAGAGACTACAGTTTCCAAAGTAAGATCAAGACCCTTATTGTGCTCTTTTAAGATATTCAACAATGACGGAGAAAATTTAGCCGAAACATCAGAACTGTGGTGCGTAAAAGAGTCCCATCTTGTGCAGGCTCAAACCTGCACCAAGACAATGCTCACTCACTGACTCAACCAGCCATCACCTTTGGCCTTCTATAACTTCTTTGACTTTCAGTGTCACAGTGGCCATATTTACATCAGATAAGGCTTTTGATTTTATAGATCTGTTCTCAGAATCTTTTGATCATACCTCATTACTTGTAACACTTTTGGAAATGGTAACTAATTAGAAAATAGATATGTAGGGAAGGTATAGTAGTCATAGTTAAAAGTAACAACTGTTGAATGGGCATACATTGTCCACATTCATTTTTCAAAAATTGTTCAGCCAAATCTCTCGCTTAGAAAGCTTTTTTTGTAGACCTGTAACAACGTCATGTTACTGTGGCAACAGTATTTACTTTTTCCCTGGTGCAGCCCTTGAGGTTATCTGTCTGGAACAGGCCACTTTAGCCTTAAAAAAAAAAACATAAGAGTGGCTCACAGTCACAGATGTGTGACTGAGATGACCACACAGAAATATATTCGCTCTCACTGACATCAGACAGAGCCAAGAGTAGGAAAAACTCTCTGAAACTGAGTGCTTCGAGCAGTCTGAAGCCTGAGCTGCTAGAGATTATTTAGAGATTACTTGCACGCTGACCTCAACTTTTTGTATTTGTCTTAATATTAGCATACACCATTGTAATGCAGGATGGATTACCTTCTACTTTTCAGAAGGTTGATGATTTGATCCATGGCTGCTCCAGTCTGCATGCCAAAGTATACTTGGATTATTCCTCTGATGCATTCATCAGAGTGTGACAGAAAGCACTTATGTGTAGTAAAAAACAAAAGTGCTTCTATGAGTGGGTGAATGAGGCATGTTGTACAAAGCGCTTTGAGTGCTTGTCACACTTTATATAACAACCAGTCAATTTATCTTAGCTTATGTGTCAGAAAATAGCAAAGACAAAATAGGCTCATTTTGAAACTGATGACATTATTTTTCTGCTGAGGATGTATTATTGAGACAGGACATATACAGTGGCTGCTGAACAGAAGACAATGATAAGAACCTCCACTATGTGACAGAGTGCAGCATAAAAAGGCCATCTCTCAGGAGTGACAGCATCAGTCACACAGACAGGCTCTTCTACAAGGCTCTCCATCATTTAGGCAAGAGATTAACTGGTAGCAAAAAATTCATTTGCTAAAACATCTAGCGGCAGAAATTAAGCGGCAGAATAGTAAATATAAAGAATGAAATGGCACACGTCTTTAAGCTTGTTTCACAGGGAATTAATAGCATATTCAATAATGAATTACAAGGTGACAATAGAGGGAAGAAATACCAAAATTAAGTCATTTTGTTTAAATCTGCAGGTCAGCTTGTCACAAGGTCAGAGTAGATCTGTTGATAAGTGTCCTAGATGCTGTTCCACATTTTGATTCATTCACCAGGATTCCCTACACAGTCAGAACAATCCAACAGGATGACTGCTCAGGCAACTGTCTGCTCAGGAGGAGGATCCATCATGTTTTCACTTCTTTAGTGAAGGGGAGCCCAATGAGTGTTCTTCTCCTCTGCCTTTGACGTACCAAGTATGTAGCCAGTCATTTATATAAAACACGATTAGGCAGAACGGTCATGTTGATCTAATGATGGACACTTCTGTTTCTGACTTGGAGAAGACTCATAAAAATCTCAAGAGCCTTCTTATTCCAGCTTCAGATGTAGTTTGACATTTTGGACCCAACGTGCCACCAACTACCTACCTGCAGTTGTTAGACTCTGCATTTGGCACAGCTGAGGATGGGGAGGAACTGTTGGTGAGGTTCATGAACACATAGCAAGATTATTATGGCTTACTTGCATCGCTTGCAGGTGGCATTGACCGCATTGTACATAGGGGAGGTATACAGCCACAACAGGTCAGCAAACACTTCCTGAAACAGTTTTACAGTGGCTGTTGAGACCATGACTTGCTTGCTGTTATGCAGCCAGAACTTAAGAATCAAGAGCCCCCATCACTTGCTGAGCTTTTGTGGCTGCTGCATACTGCAGAAAATAGGCAAGAAACAGAAAGTAGTTGAATAAAACTGCACCTCTGTACTACAAAACTGACGGTTGTCTCCCATAGACAGAATGTTCAGCAAGTGAAATACAGGCTGAATCTGCATCAAGCGACATCCGTAGGTTGAAAAAATTTGAAAAAGCTGACCTGAAAAGCCAATTGATTTCCCTCATGGAACAAATGAAAACCGCAGCTTCTAAGAAAAAACAGATACAGAAAGATGAAACTAAAAAAACCTGACCATGCAAAGACCAAACCAGGGCCCTCTTACACAGCACCTCTACTTTAAAGCCAAAACTGTGGCAGTGTTTTCATTGTGGGGAGGATGGTCACATTGTGGCCACGTGTGAGTCAGATTCAACTTATGCCTTGGTAGCTGCAAAAAAGAAGGAACTAAGAATTTGTCAGCAGTTATGGGAACGCCAGCAAAGGAACACACCTTCATTAAACTGAAGACATTCCCTGTCGTGAGACAGATGGAAAATGCAACGGGTCAAACACGTACGACTGATAAGAAGCCTAAATGAGCGCTAAGAAGTGTGTGATATTAACATTGCATGCTGAGCGAGGTCATTTCAAATTACCCAAAGGTTTGATAGGGGCAAAAACTATAGCACAGGTTCAAATGGAGGGCAATTGTGATAGCTGCATAAAGGATACAGGCTCCCAGGTTACCACAGTTCCCGAGTCTTTTTACAATCAGAACATGCCACAACATGAGATCAGAGCAATCCTTGAGCTTTCGGAGGTTAAAGAAGTCAATGGCCAATCTATGCATTATCTAGGCTACATTGAGATTAATGTTGTATTCCCCAAGGACTTTTTGGGTGCGGAAGTTGAAGTTCTCACACTTGCATTAGTGGTTCTAGATGACTTGACTTTGGGAGATCAGGTAAAACATTGCGTAAGCTGTCTGATGAGATTCCATTTAAGCACAGTAAAGCTGTCCGAAAGCATTTGCAAGAACTTAAACAGCCAGGTGTAATCAGGGAGTCCACGTCACCATTCTCTTCGCCCATAGTGGTGGTGAGGAAAAAGAATGGGAACATGTGTCTCTGTGTTGATTACAGGAAGCTCAATTTGCAGACAGTGAAAGATGTTTACGCACTCCCGAATTTGGAGGAGACCTTCTCCACGCCGAGTGAGTCCCAGTGGTTCTCTGTCCTCGACTTAAAATCTGGCTGGCCATCCCTCCCTAGTTCTGCTGGGGGTTTCTTCCTGTTAAAAGGGAGTTTTTCCTTCCCACTGTCGCCAAAGTGCTTGCTCATGATTGTTGGGTTTTTCTCTGCATGTATTATTGTAGGTTCTACCTTAAAATACAAAGGATCTTGAGGTGACTGTTGTTGGTGATTTGGCGCTGTATAAATAAAATTGAATTGAAGTAAAATCAATACCGATCCTATCACTATGGGACTTGGTACTGCCTTGTATCAGGAGCAGGAGGGTCAGATAAGAGTCACAGCATATGCTAGCAGGGTTTTGTCTAAGAGTGAGTCTCATTACCATGCCCACAAATTAGAGTTTTTAGCCCAAAAGTGGGCAGTTACGAAAAAACATTGTGATTACCTTTATGGTAGCCAGTACACAGTCGTAACTGACAGTAGTCCTTTAATATATGCAGTGAGCTATCATTGGCTAGCAGCACTTTCTATGTTTAACTTTTAGCTTCAGTGCAGAGCTGGAAAGCTGAATTCTGATGCAGATGGTCTTTCAATGTGACCACATGGAAAACTGCTCAATGACACTGTTTCACAAAAAGAGCAGGAACGTACATTCAGTGAACAGTGGTTCACTGAAACAGATCTGTCTGGTCAAGGAATCACCCTTGGCCCAGATGTGGTACCAGCTATCTGTGAGAAGCATCTCCTTGGCTGTAATCCAAGTGAAAACACAGACGTGGAGTGTGCGTTCACCCTAGTACACTCAGCCTTGTCTGTAGCTGCTATACCAGATGAGTTTGTAAATGAAGATCAGGGTGATGGTTTTCTAGTTATTCCCCACATGCCAGTAAAGCAGCTAAGAGCAGATCAACAAGCTGACCCATGTTTGAGGGAAACCATAGCTCAACTTGAGACTGGGAACAAGGTTTAATGCAACTTTAGAAAGCAACTGCCTGATATCCCCTTGCTAATTAGACAATTCAGTCTTCTTGAGCTACACAATCAAACACTGTACCGGACACATCAAGTTGTTGATTTTGTAACCTGACACACTGTTCTTCCGGAACAGTTTCGAGATGCAGTCCTCCAGAGTCTCCATGATGATATGGGCCGCTTACGCATTGTACATACTCTCAACCTCTGTGAGAACAAGATTTTACTGGCCAAGCAGATGTTGAGGGAAAGATTTTGAGAGAAAAGGTTAAAACCTGTTAACACTGTGTTCTGAGAAAATTCCTTCCTGAAAGCGCTGCTCCTTTGAGCCTATCATGCTCAAAGGACCAAAAGAGCCTGAATAATATTAAGGACATTTTTGTACCTACAGACCAGTTTATTAAGTAAGCCAACACCAAACTAGAAAGCTCAAACAGCCAATTGTTTGTGGGGTAATTTCATTGTCCACTATGGGATTCTTGAACGTTTGCACAGTAACCAAGGGCCTGACTTTGAATCACACATCATCAAAGAACTTTGCAAAATCATGGGTGTTCACAAAATACATACCACACGCTACCACCCTACCAGTGGAAACACCGTGGAGTGTTTTAATAGGACTTTGCTGAACATGCTTGGCACATTGGAAAACAAAGGTAAATCACAGTGGCATAGCTATTCGAAACTGTCGGTCCATCCGTACAATTGTACAAAGAATGATGTAACAGGATTCTCATCTTATGAATTAATGTGTGGTTGTCAAAATAGATTGTCTGTTTTAGTGCATGCTGTCTGCCTGAGAGGGGAAACATAAACTTGCTGAGTGGGAGTCAGATGTTTATGTGGCGGTAAAACAAGATGGAGATCTCCCAATTTACACCATAAAACCTGAGAACAAAGAAGCTTCTTGGCAAACTGTTCATCAAGATCTCTTACTCCTGTGTGGCTTCATCACACCAACTGGGGAGAAGCCTGTTACGACAAAATTCAAACACAAGCCAATAACACGGTTATCAGCTAAATAGTATGATGAGACTGAGCCTTCTGAGACAGAGGAGGATACCATCTGGCTTCATGAGAGGATTCCCAAAGAAACCACCCAATTCACCACAATACATTAGGTTCCTAAATCATGTCTCTGATAGAGCTGATAGTGAGATAGTGCAGCCAAGTTTAACTGAAGACTGCTTAGGCGTTGATGACACAGTGATCAGAGAAAACTTGTTTCATGATAATCCAGATACCACTGTAGAGTGAAAAACACTTGACTGCTGATGCTCCCGAAAATGAAAGTGACTTAGCAGACATGTCCACTTTCTAGGGAGACGTTCTCCGAAGTGGAGAAGACTCTGACATTGACCCTAAGGCCATTAACAACAAAGATTCACAGCAAAGTGTGGAAGGTTGAAAAAAATGGACACTATTAGGCATTCAGTCAGAAGCAGACTTCAACCGGAAAGACTGCAGTACACCCACTTGGGAAACCCACTGATATCTATTGTGCAATATTTATTCCAAGGCTTGAGCTTAGCTTTTACTGATGCTTTACAACAGAGCAAAGTTTCAAAAGCTCACCAGGGGCTATTCCCTCAAGTGGTGAAGTCACAGCCATTTCCAATGCAAAGTGACTTGCATAACTTTAGGAGAACAAAACTAACTCTGGTTTCATGACTGGTGAAATGTAGGAACATTTTGAACTTGTCATTTGTACAATACATTAAAAACAGAACTTGAATTTAAAACTAATTTTGTTCATGCTTCATTCCTCAAGCAGAAATGTTTATAGATATTTGTCAGTTAACTATGGTTAATGTGCATTTGAAGTAACTCTGACCTCGCTCTTAGGTCAGATTTTTTGATTTGGGGATCAAAGGACTCAAAGTCCCCAGAGAACTTCGAATTTTAGACCTTCTGGAAATCCACAGAAGGAGAATGATCTTCCATTGCAATGGATGTCGTGCCACAGCCCATATGGAAATCTTGCAGTCTGATTGCCCGAGTTGGGTTAGGGTTAGGACAAACTGTGCAAACCGTACATCAATCGTTAGACTGATTTCACACCAATAAACTGCTGAGATCACCCGACAGGCCTGAACTGGATAACACTGATAACTAAAAGGCCCGGGTCTTACTTTGGTATCTGTGCGCGCACACTATTTTGGTTATTGTTGTTGGTTGATATACAGTGCATGAAATTTTAATACAACCAAAGCTTTGCTTTATCATTTTCTGTGGTTGTGTCTTGGCTCCTACCGTTCCTGAAGTCCTCTGAAGTCGGCCATCTTTAACTTTATTTTATTTACTTTTTTTTTTTGTACACACTGGTTGCAGATGCCTGCTCCTGTGGTTTTTTCATAATTCATTTGATTCATTCTTACTCTATCAGAATACATCAATTTGTTGGAAAACATTATTATAAACTAATCAGTGTGTATATATGAGTACACAAAAAGAAAAAGAAAAAAAGAATTATACTCCACCAAGTCTGTTATTTTAAGAGAAGGAGAAAAGATTTGCTGTACCTGTGGAAGAGGACAGATTTAACCAGTGTCACCACATCTCGACTTGCGTTGTAACCTGCACATACAATGGCCACATGGATGGTCTGAGGAGAAAATGACAAAGCGATTAAGAAGGAGAGATGTGCACAGCACAAGGAACAAAGTATAACTGTGAATTGGCTTAGTAAAACAAAAGACAACACTGATTGTGTGTTGGAGCATTCATTAACTCATTCCACCTCAATTCAAAGGGCAATTATAGTAACTGTCAAACAAAAGTTCTTAGACGTGTATAAAACTCAACTGTAAGCTGAAGCTTTGTGAAATCTAATGAATTTTTAATGAGAAGATTGAGGAAATAGATTTGATAATACTTTTATGATACTATACTATACTCATATGATAATATCTTCATACATTTTGAGCAGATATCTTAATAATTCTCAAATATATGTTGACTTCATAACATATAGTTGTACAGATGGCTGGAAGTTCTCCTTTATGATATTTTGGTAGACGGCAGAATTCATGGTTCCATTTACCACAGCAAGTCTTCCAGGCTCTGCAAAAGCAAAACAGCCTCAGACCTTCACACTACCACCACCATATTTTACTGTTGCTATGACACTCCTTTTCTGAAATGCTGTATCACTTTTACGCCAGATGTAATGGGACACACACCTTCCAAAAAGTTCAACTTTTGTCTCATCAGTCTGTATTTTCACAAGAATCTTGGGGTTCATCAAAATGTTTTCTGGCAAAACTTAGATGAGCCTTTATGTTCCTTTTGCTCAGCAGTGGGTTTCATGTTGGAACTTTGCCATGCAGGCCATTTTTGTCCAGTCTCTTTTTTATGGTGGAGTCATGAACATTGACCTTAATTGAGGCAATTGAGGCCTGCAGTTCTTTCAATGTTGTTCTGGCTCTTTTGCGACAAGTCGTCTCTTGGATGAGTGGGGTAATTTTGGTTGGCTGGCCACTCCTGGGAAGGTCGTTACATCGCAATAAAAAGCCCATTGAAACAACTGCTGCTGTGATTTGGTGCTATATAAATAAAATTAGAATCAGACTCAATCAGAATCAGCATACCTTATTAATCCCTAAGGAAATTGTATGGTTATTGTTGCTCCCAGACAATAAGGACAGTAACTGAACTAAATTAAATAATACATCATATTACAGAGTTACAAAATATAACAAATAAATCTTGTCTATATATAAATAGGTCAATTATAAATATCCAGAATATTACAGAGATTAAATTGTACTCTAAACTTAAAAACTTTATTTTCACTGTAGAGGATGTGTAAATATTTGTGCTGTCAGCATTAACCTCGTTAAAATGACATTACCATTAGCGTTGTTAACGCGTTGACGCCGTGCAGCCCCACGCACAGGGTGATCCGCGTTAACTCGCTAAAGGAGATTTGCCGCGTTAATGCAGTTATTGCGTTAACGTCATTTTAACGAGATTAACACTGACAGCACTAGTAAATATTAAGGGTGTAACTATTAAACTGTACAGTGCATTAGATGGAGGAGTTGTACAGAGAAATAAGCATTGTCTGAGAAATGTTAAAAGACTACCTGCCCCAGAAAATAGAAACGGCCCTTCCAGCAGAGTGTAGTGGTCTTTTTAATCCAATCCAGTTTATTATCAATCTGTACACCGAGGTATTTATAGTCCTACACAATGTTCACATCAACTGCATGGACTGAAACAGAGTTGCAGTTTTCCTGGTCCTGCTAACATCCACCATTGGTCCTTTGTGGTGTCCCTGTGTTGCTGATCACCTTGCCATACACAAATGTTGAAGACGCACATATTGTGGTCATTCATTTAGGTAATTAACAATCCTGGACATAAAAGAGGCATCCACCTGCATCGCTATCGGCTTATCACCCAAGAGGGTTGGTCTGATAGTTCTGAATGGACTGGAAGTCGAAAAACATGACCTTCACAGCGCTCACTGGC